AAAAAAAAAAAAAAAAAAAAAAAAAAAAAAAAAAAAAAAAAAAAAAAAAAAAAAGTACATGTTTCATCATCGTGTACTTGGTCCTGCAGGGTATACCTACTATACACAATTACTCGGTGGAATATCCGTCGAACGAATAAATCCCTTGGCTTTTGTAAAGAAACAATATAAAAAAGACAAAACTTATTGGTACCTGCTTAGAAAGTGCTTCCATTGGGGTCTTACTGTAACATGCTGTTACTACTACCGGTTTCGACTGTCCAGTAGAGCACGAAAAATTGAAGCTATAAACTGGCATAATTATATTCCGTCGTCTAGGGGTCCTTTTTTTTGCCGATTGTAACTTCCAAAAGCGTATACTTGTTGCATAAATTAATCCTTTCGATCCTTACTGTGCAAATTATACTGATAAACTTGAATTAAAAATATTAAAAAAAAAAAAGAGTTTTCCTTGATATAAATGCTACACGTGCTTCAAAAAACAAAAAAAATCGTTGGAAACCCTTCTGCCCAGTTCTCTGTATCTCAAGGAAAAGGAAAAAAAAAAAAAAAGAAAAAAAACATTACATCTGATAAATACTCCTCTGATACGTATATACAATGTAATGCCCACACGTGCTGATTAAATGTCATTAGGTAGTGAGCCAGAGGATGATGCTAACGAAAGGAGGGGAGAAGAGGTGCAAGTGTAAGGTGTAAGAGATGCCGCGCTAGTGATTAATCGCTAAACGATTGCCGGTTTGGAGTTTGAGGGAGACCCCCCGATTAATCCTCGCGTATAACCCCTCGGGGCCTTATCAAAAGGGCCGCTCTCATACTTATCGGCCGGCTTGCATCTTCATTTTATTGATGCCCCCGTGATTAGTCTCGATTATACCGGGGCCCCGGTGCCTTGGTAAATTATTTCTTAATTTTTTCGCGCCAGCCTCTGGTGGTTACTTACCCCCAAAAAATCCTTCGTTTTCGCGCTAAAGGTAGAATAAATTGATTTTCAATTTATACTTNAACCCCGAGAATTCGTTCATTTGCACTTGTGTAGACAAGCGAGTCGCGAAATGAGCGTCGCGCGAGTCGCGGGAAAGATATAATCATATTTCACGATACATACAGTTGTCATGGCATGCGTGTGGTCCCTCCTTAGCTCGTGGCTCACATGTTCGACGACTAGACGCTCCCTATATATTACATTTCGCGCCGCCAGAGGGCATATAATCTTCACCGGCGTCCTCCGGCAGCTCTTTCGCTCTTCCTCTCTTGTCTGCCTTGCTCATAATATAACACGCTTATATGCGACGATTTTGCGTAATCAGTTTTTTAAACTTCAATACAGCTCGGGAATGAAAATTGTTAAAATTACGTGATTTCTACGAAAATGTGGTCCAGAGGGTGTATACCAACTCCCAAGAAAATAGCATTGGAATAAACATCAGCGACTACTTGGAGACCGGAATAAAAAAAACTATGAGCTATAAAAAAAGTCATCGAAGCGAAAATGCATAATATAATTCAGATTCCACTTGAGTGAAACGCGTGTATCATTTTAAAATTGTACCGTTGACTCGCTCAGCCGAGCGTGACGGCTGCATAATACGAATCATTGCAACCATACTATTGTGTCCTTATACGTTGGGTATAAAGGAAGCTTGTGTATTATTTACGCCTAACTGAATAGTTTAAGAAATTTCCCATTGTTTTTTATACCCCCATAAAATTGCCCGATCGATAACCTATATAATACGTATCGGTGTATGTTTGAGTATGTCAAGTATTTCAAGTATAGATGTGCATATGAGTGATAAAAGCCATCCCGCAAAGCATATATATATATACACACAAAACGAAAAACGTACGTTGACGATAGAGCTCGAAAAGTTTCAAAACAACGAAACGCGTGCTCGCGTTTGTCTCTGAATTTTCCTGTAGGCGGATGTTCCCGACGTGCCGGGTGACCTTCAACGGACTGAGGCCCGAGGGCCGGTACTCCGTGGCGATGGACATAGTGCCGGTCGACGAGAAGCGCTACCGGTACGCTTACCACCGCAGCTGCTGGCTCGTGGCCGGCAAGGCCGACCCACCGGCCCCGGCGAGGCTCTACGTGCACCCCGACTCGCCCTTCACCGGCGAACAGCTCAGGAAACAGATCGTCTCCTTCGAGAAGGTCAAACTCACCAACAACGACATGGACAAGCAGGGACACGTGAGTTTGATTTATTTATTTATTTTTTTTTTTGCTCCCCTTCTTTTTCATTGTATATATACTTTTTGACGTATACCTATGTGAGTACATCTTTTATCAGCGTCTGCGACGAGAGGGGATAAAGTTTATTCGTTGCAATTTTAGAGCAAAGTGCCAGGTGACAGGCTACGGCTTCACTCGAATTTTCTACGCGGCTTGCAGTTTAATATGCATCGGGACACGTTGCACCAACGACACCAGTGTACTCGTACAAAGTGCCTGCGTGCGGGGGGGAGGGGGTCTCGAGGGAAGGGTTTGATACGTACATTCGATTAGATATTCCAGACAAAAGGGGGAGGGGGAGAGAAAGAGAGAGCTGTCAGACCGGCACTTTAATGAATCATAGTCTGACCGGGGCCGCGTCGTAATTTGATCCGGAGCATGAGAGCTGGTATGGGACGACCCGGGGTAAAAATAGCCGCGATTGTTATAATTGGTACATCACGGGGAAACGTATATGTATAGTATAGACAGTGCGAGGTGCTCGCGGATTTGACGACCAAGATTTCAAAGCGTCCGCGTGGACGCGTCGCGAGAGCGGAGGCTGCATAATGAAGGTGTTAATTATACACGCGCTTTTCTCGCCGCGCTACGTATACTGCCACGGACTGCAGTCGTATGGTATATACACGTAAATGTATAATATTGGGTGCGAGCGTGTGTTTGAGGGGCTTAAAATAGTATATGTACACGCGCGGCTCTTGACGAGCATGCCGATTTGGCATTGGGTGTATATATATATATGTAGACATCGGACTCGGACTGGTGTCTCGTGAATCTGCATATCTCATGAGTCTACTTGTTATATACCCTCAAGATTTATAAGACGCCGGTCTGACTTTTATTTCGGTTTGTTTTGCTTGGCTTGACCGAGGCTCCGTTTTTTTCATCTATACATGAGAATAATACGACGATTCATACGATCAAAGCGTAGTTAAAACATCAAAATCTAAATTTATTGAAACGAATGAAAGAATGCGATACAATTATCGGTCCCTAATTTAAATGGCAATCGACAAAATGAGTTAAATGATAGCAGTAACGTTATATTTACCTTTGAAGCTTGTGATAAAAGTTATGTAGTAAGAATTTTTTAATACTTGAAAAAAGAACAAAAAATGAAATTGTACATTTTCAGTTGGTGCTGAACTCGATGCACAAGTACCAGCCACGTATCCACTTGATAAAGCGACCGGACAGCGGCGGCGGTGGAAGCAACTGCGATCCCATAGAGCATCTGGAGCACGAGCCGCACAAGACCTTTATATTCCCTGAGGCCATATTCACCGCTGTCACCGCCTATCAGAACCAGCTCGTGAGTTGCCTTTTTTTTTCGTTGCTCCTCGTTGCTCCTCCTTCACGCGCATATACCTCTCTTTTACGTATACGAACCTTTAGTGTGAACTGGCGTCACTGCTCCCGCTGCAGCAGCCCTTCACAGTGATAAGAAAAACATAGCCAAATTAAAAACTTATTTTAAATATATGCCATTGAATCGAAAGATGATTGAATCCAGCAAAAACTTTATTTTGTTAAACGATTCATTGATAAAAAAAATTTTTTTTAATTTTCATTACAAACAAAATATGGGGAACCCTATGAGCTTTTTTTAAGACTCCCTACTACAACAGGATACGATTTTTAGATAAATTATACTTCATTCATAATTATACCAGCGAAACTACCACCTGGCATAAAAAAAAACCCACGTAGTTACGTAGACTTTTTAATTTTTATTTGCACAATATACTTCGTGAAGGAAACTTTAAATATTTCGAAGCTATTTTTCGAAAAAAATCATTCTCTACTCAACATCATGGGGAAAAGTAAAAAAACAATGTTGCCAACATGGACGACCTGCTAATTATACCAGCTTATAAAACTCTCAAATTTTGAAAACAATTGAAAAAATGGATTTGAAAAATAAAAAAAAACAAGTCGTAAATATTTTTAATAAAGAATTGGGGCATGCAGTTTCAATATTGTCACCGAGAAAGTCATTGTAATGAATACTTGTTTTTCAAAATTATGTACCTACACATCAACTATACTAGCAATTGTTGCAATAAACGACAATCTTATGATAAACTCGTGAAGATTGATAACCGTCGTATTTTAGATGATGATAAAGAGATGGTCACACGAGTAAAGTAATTAGGGATGTTAAATGCGTCGTGAGACAAGTGTTAAGTCGTTACGATAATAATCACCAATAGAAAATCGACTGATCCGTACAAAATTGTGGTGCAAAAGAAAAAATTAGAGCTAATAATGACGACACAGAAAATTGATTCTATTATACACGTGAATTGCACAACACGCGCACGCGTAAGTAGTTCGCACAGACCTGCCCCTTTTTTCACGCGCAACGAGTGACTTTCTTTCATAAATTATACTCTGCCTCTCGTTCCTCTCCCCCCTTGGCGCGTCTCGCGTCGTTAAACGCCACTTTTTTTTTTTTTTTTTTAATCTGCATTTTTATGCCATAAATCACCGCTAGATTTACGACGGGTGCTGAAAAATAGAAAAAAAAAAAAAANAAAAAAACCCCGAGAATTCGTTCATTTGCACTTGTGTAGACAAGCGAGTCGCGAAATGAGCGTCGCGCGAGTCGCGGGAAAGATATAATCATATTTCACGATACATACAGTTGTCATGGCATGCGTGTGGTCCCTCCTTAGCTCGTGGCTCACATGTTCGACGACTAGACGCTCCCTATATATTACATTTCGCGCCGCCAGAGGGCATATAATACATACGATATTCCTCCGGCAGCTCTTTCGCTCTTCCTCTCTTGTCTGCCTCGCTCCCCTTCTCCCTCGAATCGTACACATATACCCATCTAGGGTCCCTTTTCTTTTATTCGTCCTCCTCCCCTTTCACTGCGACGTCTTCTTCGGTTACTGGATATGTCCGGAACCAGCTATAGTCCTTGAGTATGTATTATATATCGCACGCACAGCCGCGTGTGCCAATGGACGAATGGCTCGTGGAAGCCGGCCTCGTTTGTAACTCGTTGCTTCACCAGCCAATATGCGAGCTAATGGCGCAACATTTGATTTTTCATCGTATGGTTGACCCGCGCGTCATAAACCTGTCTCGCGCTTCTTACCCTTTCGCGACACTACGTAATTGTACACTTGTTGGGGTTTTCTTGTTCCAATGATTTGGCTCGTTTGGACCCCCTATTGCTTTTTCCAGTATAAGTAAGACACTCACGAGTGATCAAGCATTTATCGCGATTGAGTCATCGAGTATCGTTTTCATTTTTCATCGCCAGGTTAACGTGCATCAAACCAGGAATCCTAACAAAATTTCGTAACCAAATTGAATAAAACTTGGCGAAAAACCTGCATCGGATCAAACCCCAACCGCTCGAATTTCCGAGAAGCCATAACCGAACGAGGACACTCCCACGCAGCTCGCCTCCGCGCGCAGCTTTAATTACAAACAGTCTGTAAATCTTTCATACGTGGGCTATATACGCAGCGGGTTTCCGCGGAATCGTAGCCGAAGGTTTTTCCAAAAATAAGCCGGGAAGAAAAAAAACAACAACATCACCTGACCCTTTCGCACCTCGCAAGGGGCCGATATTAAACCTACTTCTGGCCTGGCTCTTTTCATATACGTATACAGAGTATTAAAGGTCGGTGGTACAGGGAGTGCAGGTATTATATATAATATTGTACGAGGTAGGGCACACGACGCGGGATTATACGAGCGAGCATCCGCTGTATTATACATCCTCCGATCGACTTTCACGGGGGGAGACCACATAGGTATATTATAAGCTCGAGGGAGAGAGAGCTTAAAGAGTCACGGGTGGTCCTCGCGAAACTTTGCTACCCTCGCTAACCGCACACACACACACGTACCTATACCTCTCATCTCGCGCCTTTAACGAAAGTTGAGCTGCGCTGTGCAGCAGTTGATGATGATGACGATGATGAGGTGCGAAGAGACGACCCCCTCCCCCCGATGCCCCGGCAATTACCCCTGCGACGCGAGGATGTCTTTCTCGCCACTCGCCGCGTCATTATCGTTCTTGCACCCGAGCTCTTTCTCTCTCTTCTTCATTTCTGGTCTTCCGGTTGCACTCGACGCCATTGTACACCTAATGCGTCTTTGCGACTATTTTTTATTGTCAAAATCGAGAAAGAGGGGGAGGAGGCTTTTCAGAATAAGCGTCGCACCGCAGTGTACCGAACTCTATATACGTATATTTATCCTGATGGTATATAAACGAGCCCTCTAGCGAGTCTATAATTATACCGGCACCACAATGCGCGTTTGTTCGCACCGGCATGGAAGAATAATTATCACTCGGAGGAGCTTTCCACATATCTCAAGTGGGAAAGGGGGGGGGAGTGATTTTCATATTTCCCCGTGTGTATTTATGGAAAGCAACTCCTGCCCGGCTGGAAGTCCGAAAACGAGTCATCACTCAGCGCGGAAGCAGCCGTGATTTTTCTTCCCCTTGGACGCGTTGGTTTCTTTCTCCCCCCCCCCTTCTCTTCGCGTGTACAAAAAACGCCTGGCAGCGTTCGCCGGCTCCCGCGCATCGCGAAATAATATCGTAACGATCTCCTCGCACGCGCGCACAGTCCGATTCGTCTCTCTCTCGCTCCCCATAATTCATAACTTAACTGCGGTGTCCCCTTCCTCTTCCGTCGTCGCCGGCTCGCTGTGGACACACACACACACACACTGCCGTCGGAACGGCGTATCTCACTTTTTCACACTCCCTTGGTTGGCTGCTCGGGTGCGGGCACGCTTTGAGTCCGTAATGCGGCCGGGGCAAAATAAAACCAAACGAGAGACAGAGGGACATTTTTTGCGGGCACAACCGAATATCCATCCACTTTCAACGAGTCGGTGTTCAAGGAGTATGAGAGTGGAGTTTTTTTTTTTTTTTTTTTTTTTTTTTTTTTTCTTTTGGGTCGCGGGAAGAGATTTGGACGGGAGAGATGAGAGATCCATTGGCTGATGCGCTCGAGATCGGGTGCAGTGCGTTGCAGTATACTATGACGAATTTGGCTAAACTTGTCCGATTCATTAGGTTTCACGTTTATCGTCATGTTTTTTCATTTTGTTGATTTCCAGTTGTATAATAACTACCAATTTTTTTCCTTCATTTACATATTTTTAGATGCAAGGGCCACCCGAAATACAGTTGTTACTCCTTATTTGCAAGCCGTCGTAACGTTTCCAAAACCCACGTGCTTTTTTTTTGTGAAAACATCACCAAATTCGCAATCGCCGTACAAGTCACAGCCCAGTCGGCGCAGATGTCTAATTTAATTATGATCGCGTTTTAATGGCAGAGCACGAAGGGGCCCATCGGGTTTTCCCTTTTATCATTCGCTCGTCTGCGAGAAAAAGAGACGCCCGCTCGTGTTTTTTTGGCCCAGAGAGCACCGCCACCGTCTTTATTACCACCGGGCCTCTGGTGGCAATTAACGATCCACACGCCCAAATAAAAGGAACTCTTTCTCTCGACGCACGGCTTCTGTTGTACACGCACGTGATGCTCCTCTCACCCCCCCTTTTTTTCTTTTTTTTTTTCATCCTCGTCTCCGAGACCCCGGTACACATCGCGGCTCGAGAAAACGTATAATTTCACGTTCCAACTTTCTTCCTTCTCGTTCCCCGCATGTGCGGCAGCTTCCTTCATTACGCGGACGTCGAGCGCCCCGTTTTTTTTTCCCTTCCCCGCGTGCCGCTTCTTAATCACGCTTGTTCAACAATTTTTATCGCTATACTTTATTTTTGCTCGTCGCGTCGAGAGAAGTATAAGGCCATTAGGAGCACCGGTATACGTTCCTCGCCGATTTCCGTCGCACCTTTATACATATACTCACTTGCTCCGCGCACTCTATTTTCGAGTGCGAGGGTGAAATAATTACGACACGGTGTCCGACTATTATTCCCCTCTCCCCCGTGAGCACGCGTTTGTTTCCTCGGCGTATTTCAAGCGGGTCGCATTTCACTCTTTTTTTATCCTTTTGTTGTTTCTCCCGCACCGGCGGTCCATCCATCCGCCTCCGCAGTCTGTCTATACATATAATATACATCTATAGGCGCCGGACACTACTCTTCGTCGCTGTCGCGGTGTCGTCGCGCGACATTGTTTACGCTCCCCGTCGCAATTATCATCCGACCCCTCGAGGAGCTAAACACCTGCTTCTTCCTCCTCCTTTTTTTTCCACGTTGTCCGGTTGTGTACCGCCGCATCATAGTCCATGGCCGATAATTGACTTTCGAGGGTATAAGGAGAAGAAGAAAAAAGCCGCTTCAAAGGCTCATCTCTATCGA